ATGTATTTGGAAGATAGAACTGTTCGATTACAATTGTGGGACACAGCAGGCCAAGTAAGATGATCATCTCAATATTTCCTATTTGTAAAGAGTAAAGAGTTGCTCTATTCTAACGACGAACGTCATTCCTATAGGAAAGATTTCGAAGTTTAATTCCGAGTTATATTAGGGATTCCTCAGTAGCTGTTGTTGTATATGATATTACAAGTGTGTTCGATGCTTTACTTCGTCATTATCTATACATTATTTTTTATTTATTAAAGCTTAATAATGTCACTTTTCTTAAAAAGATAGGAATTCATTTATGAATACAGCTAAGTGGATTGATGATGTACGTGCCGAAAGAGGTCATGATGTTATTATTGTGTTGGTTGGGAACAAAACTGATTTAAATGACAGAAGGTGAGATTAGTGTTTCGTATATGTCTATATGTATCTTAATTCAACTGAAGTTTTGTAAATTTTAGACAAGTCACAACAGAGGAAGGGGAAAAAAAGGCAAAAGAATTTAATGTCATGTTTATTGAGACTAGTGCAAAGGCAGGGCACAACGTTAAGACCCTCTTCCGTAAAATTGCTCAAGCTCTACCTGGAATGGAAAATACAATGTCTGAGCCTCAAAATCAACGTAAGCCTATATTATATTCTCAATTGTTTCATTAAGTATTTATACACAAATATTAATCCTTTACTTAAATGCTAGTCATTGATGTAAATATCAATTCTGGCACTCAAAATTCTAATGAAAGTAGCAGTTGTGCTTGTTAATGTGTATTTATTTCTTGTTGAGTATCGTTGTATAAATAATGAATATGTCATAGACTATAATTGAACCTGTATTAACAATTATTTATAGACTGTTCTCATTTAATAAGTAGGTTTGACGTTATCATGGTAGCTGTTATAACTAAAGTTGTATAGTAATATTTTTTTAGTTTGGTTGAATCCAGACTATTAAATTTTAACCTTTTTTACGAAAAGATGAATTTAATTAATGTGTTTTGCTGTTTATTTTGATGCTTATAATGAATCAGAATTTGTATTTAGATATTTTTGAATTATAATAAAAAATATATACAGATAAAGCTTTATAAAAAAATTATTAATTTTAATACATAAATGTGACTGATTAAATGAAATATTGTACAATGTAAAAAATAGACAAGCCACCGAAAAATAAAAATTTTTGAGGTGCATTTTTTATGGTTAGGGGTTAGGTAGAGTTTATAATAAACAAGCATAGGTGAGTTAAATAGAAACCCTCATTTCATTTTAATCCGATTTCATTATGATCCGTGACAATAACTAACACGACGGTGTTGATAGATAAAATGAATGAACGATTTAATATGTAATGTATAGTA